CTGTAAGAAACACAAACCCACACGTACATTGGCGTGGGAAACGTTCTTTGCGTTTCATTAATCATCAACATTGGCTTTCTTTTTCTAACACTAAGGACCTTATCGTCTGGTCTAGCACGGCTAACGTATTGCTCCAGGCTGGGGTGTTTGCATTGTGGATTCAAGACTATAGTCCGATGGACTTATAGTAATCAATACAATTTTTTTCTTATTTAAGATTCATCCACATTAATTTTACTGCCGCGTTTATAGCTGTTTGTCACTTAAAGTAAACGCCTATAAACTTAAGGGCATTTTGCTTAAAAATGAACATGCATGGGCTTATATTATAGTGGTACAATAACGTTTCTCACTTTTTTGTCAGCAAGAAACTAAGAGTGACTTGATTTTAAGAGATCATACGCATGCTGAGTCTGTAAGATATAGCTGTTATACAAATAATAATTAGAAAATCACAAGAACTATGCCGTCCTCACGACCCTGTACTATCCTATTTTCAAATGGCCCATGGTGCTATTTGAGATGGAAATACTTAAAAGCCTAAGAAGTACTGGCTCACATCTAATGCTCGCAGATTTTAAAATTTCTCAAACTATTCGAAATCAACTTACTGGGTAACTTTGCCCCGCAGCAAACTATTTCAATCGACCTTTGTAGTCCCATATCAAAGATATAATAACTGGAAATGTTTAGTCGTGGTAAAATAGTCATCTTGAAATAGTTACTATTTATAAAAGTCGGCACCTATCCTTGGCCGTCCCGACGACAGATGATTATGTTTTGACGATAATTGTTTTTTCGTGGACGGGCTACTAAAAGAACCTCGTCTGTGGTTTGTTAGCACTCTCTTAACACAAATTTCTTCAAACCTAAGAACTTATTGCTTAGATGTCTAAGTGTTGAAGCTGACCAGACGAGCAAAACTTCTAGCTAATAGGGTTAAGGCCCTTATCAATGAATCGTGAAAGCTGAATTGTGAAGTTAATGTGTTAGGAAAAGATTCCGATGATTTTGGCCTCCGATTTTCCCAATTATAATACAAATGTATCCAAGGTATTAATGTATGAGAGCATCGCTTGGGGGCGGCATAGTTTAGGTATCTAATTGTGTATCATAGACCTGTTAGGGAAGCTCCACATAACACCCAACAACGCCTGCTCTAACTGTATTCTCAGTTGAGGCAAATTCTTGATTCTTCACCCGCAAAAGTGATTCTGGAGGCTTGTTCACATAGAGAAAATAGTTAAGGTGCTAAGGAATAAAGCTATCCTGAGGCACGACTGTCTAGCCATCATAAGGGCCAATAAAAAAGACGTTTAACATTATCTTTAGATTAGTGAACACCTTTATTGTGGCATTGACAAAAACGATGTCTTCCGGCCTTAGTTTTAAGCGAAAGCCACAGCAAACATATATGGTAACAACTAATCACTAACGTTTTCTCTTTCAGTTTCAGGTTGATGTCAGGTTCGAAAAACCAGTATCTTTAACATATTATGTTTGAAAGCGTGGCCTGACCCATACATAAAGGCCCCATGTTTTACGTCTAATAGTGCCGTTAAGTTGACCACCTATTCGAAACGACATGTGCCTATACTCAGTTTTCTTATGGCATTTCATCAGTCAACGTGCAAAAAAAAAAACTAGTTTCAAGGGCGAACGATTCCTTTCAGATCTAGACGTTAAGTCTACGAGAAGGACTAACTTACTGTTTGTAGAACTTGTTACAGATACAGAATTAATCTAATAGTTTCTAAAATTCGGAACCCATATATAAAAGGAAATCAACTACACGATTATTTGTACAAATTTTATTCGTATTAGTATGGAGGGCTCTAAATTACAAATGTGGAATCTATGATAATGCGCTTTTATTGGGTATTTATTTAAATATATATTTATCTATTAGATCAACGCAGCTATGCCCAAACCTTGTTCGACCACTTTTCTGGGGCTAGGTAGTTTTGCGTTAGTAATAATCACTTTATTTTTTTCGCAGCTTTTTGCTACAGGCTAGTCCGGCTAGTTATTTTCTATTTCCTAACGTCAATGCAACTATTCGATGAAAACGCAGAAACATTTTCTGGCAGAGAGGACACGCAGCGAGCTAGGACCGACAAATCAAAAGAACTTGTTCTTCATTGCCTAAACGCTGAACAAGGGCAAACTAAGTGGACTAAGCGCTATAGGTAATTCTCAAACAAGCTTTATTTTTCTTCAAGGGACTCAGCAGGGTGCGTCATCAACTCTGTTGATGCACAAAATACAAATTTATCTGTAGATATAAGGTCACTGGCTCTGATACATATAATTCACAGCTGAGTAATACGTTTTTATGCTTTGATGCATGTAATAATATACAAAAATAATAGTAATCATAACATACTGTAGATGATGTACAAATGGATCTTAAATCCATGTTCGCGGATTTGCGAATTTTCAAGCTGACAAGTTGACGTATTACCGCCTCGCTATTATATAAGGCTTTTTCCTAGCTTTGCTGGCGTTTTGTTAACCAGAACGATTATAATTAAAACCAATTTGAAAGAAAGTGGCTGTTCCTAGGTCCAGGACGAACCTAACGCCCAACTGCTCTGTCCCAATTCCTGTCAGGGGCGCATATAACATTTTGTGGCCCGTTGAAGGCATGCGCATTGATGTGATAAGTTTTTTTTTTTCTTTTTTTTTTACTGGTTACAAAAATCTGCTAAATGTTTCATTGCAACGGTTTACGGCTCAAGCACGTCAGTAAATCTCTTTCAGGCGATAGAATTTGTCATATCCAAATGGTTCACTATTTAATCCCGGTGTTCGATTCTCTAATAGCTAAAACTAACAGTTCCTTAAATTGTGCGCAATGACCTTGTCAACCACATATTATTACAGCAGGTAACTTCTGTAACTTGTACAGCTTTTTAATTATGGCCGAAAAACGTGGCTTTTAATTACTTGCTAGTATGTCATAAGTTTTTATAGCCATAATTTATCTAGAGCTACATCCTCATAATAGCAGCGTTGGGGATTTCTTTGGAACAATTACATATAATTTACCCGGCTGCATTTTACTTCAGTGATGCCTGTCGTTGAAAAATGCGTTTCATAAGACAATCCACCGTCTGACACCCATATTCATTATTAATCCTATGTGTGTCCTTGATATAAGGCCATACATGCGCCTAGACGTTGAGCGACATAAAACTGTTAACCAACGGAAGAAGTGTCCGTCCACTACTGCAAAAAAAGTCTGCCTCAGCACAAGTTTACTGCTAGCTGCAAAAACTAGTAAAAGTCGCGTTTTGTTCAGCTTGTGTAAAATCAATCGGGTAGAAGGCAGCTTTGCACTTTGCATAGACCAGTTACGTGCAAATCAGGGAGCCAATGAATCTATTGCAAAAATAAAGCTCAGCTTCTCTATTCGGTAGCTACTAGTCAACAACAGGCCCGGTTACGCCAGCGGTGGAGCTAATTTTTAGAATTATAGACCGCATCAGGCCGTTTGAAAAGGTACCCAATTTTGAATTGTCGTGGAACGATACGTTTAAAAGAGACAACGAATTTTTCCTGATCGATTACGCTTCGGTAGCGTCTTGTTAAAATCGTCCCAGCTATTAAAGCGAGACATGAGAGAGAACGCTTACTGCTTGTTTCCCCGTTGGTTATTTACTGCTGGGAAATTTCGGATAAACTTGTATTTAGCCATAGTTCCCTCCGGTTGAGTTGGCTGAATTAAGTCAAGGCGTTTCTAGGACTCATCGATTTTTACCGAAACGCGCTGTAGCGCGCTAAGGTTTTTTGCCATTTTTCACATAAATACGTAAAAAAGAAAAAGGTTTTCCTCAATTCGTTGCGGTCCTAAAGATGTCTCTGAGGGTGAGGCTATCGTTTTATGCTGACAGAAGCTTTAAGATAAAGCCCTCAGAAACTAAATAGGCATCTATTCAGTTACTTACGTAGAGAACGCTTCTTACGTACACTTTTCCAGTGTTAGATGAGTATGAAAGTATTACAAATTGCCAACGCAACATACGGAAGCGTACTTTACTGCATTGACTGTTGGCAATTATAAAGTAGCTGACACGTTTCTGAGCAAAGCGATAGTCTGAAGATGGCTATATCAAGCTGAACGATTCGAGGACTCCGTAATTACTGGCATTCCGTTGCCATGATGGCTTTATTGATTCTACTACTACCTTATTTTCCTTCCTGTAGACAACTTCGCTTCTTCGGCTTCGGCTGCATTTTCTCTAGCCGCATACGTCAAATAAGCTATTTTGTAACCGTGTTCGACGTCTTCTTTCGAACAGGTGTACTTTGTTTTGCGTATCGCGCGTCTGATTAAGCCACTGCTGTTTAAATCGGCTAACGGCACTATTTTTAGCTAGCTAACTTACCAGTTATGTACCAGGTGTATTTCAAATACGTCTATGTGATTATGAGGTATGCGGCACTCCGATCGAGCGATTCTCTCTTTCTTTGCATACTAGGTAATCCCGTTCAGCGATACGTGCTGTTCGGCATTGACTTAATAAGATTCTACCTTGCGATACTTTTTGGCAGCTTGTTGCTGGTACCACGTCCCAGACTGACCGAACTTGGCAAGTTTTTGTGAACCCAGATATCATTGTGTCAAAACAATCGTCACGGTGCGTCCTCCGCAAGCCAGCTAGCTTCAGCGCTATGAAGGCAAGTGACTATACAGACGATGTTTATACGTGCTTGTATGGGTATATATTTTTGACCTATAGCTATTTTACTTGACTTCTGGTAACAGTAAAACGACTATAGGGTTCAATTCTTCCCGAAGCTTCGATATCGTTTTCTCAACCCTGGGGCGAAGGCGTACAGCCCATCATTATAACCGTCACTCTTCTTCATTCATATAATGGCGTCTGCCGCCGCCGCCGCCGCCGCGGCGTGGTCTTTCTTGCTTCCTTCTACCGAGGGCTACATAAAGCCCCGCACAACACTCACAAAAATATCCCTCACGAACGGACCACCGATCAAGATGCTGCTTAGACTGACGATGCCCCGTTATTTTCTGATATTTGGTGTGTGACTTTTCTGTATTTCAATATACCTAAGGAGAAAACATGTTTGGAGGTGTATCTATGGTGCTACTATAGATATACGAAACTACAGAAGTTCAGAGTGCATAAGTGAGATACAATAGTGTTATTATGAAATAGCCGGCGAAACGCCCAGGTAATAGGATGATTGTCTGTGAAAGTCTCGGAGTGCAGAGCATACGGCGACATGAGGACCTTTTAATGTTTCACTTACGAGATGCACGCGAGCTTATTGGATCGTTGTTAAGATCCTTAGTTATATCTGCTATGGATATTAGTCGCGGGTGTAGTAGATTATTTGACAGCACTAATCCAAATGAAGCTAATACGTTCGTTCATAAGTATTGAACGCGATGCGTACGATTTGTTTACTTTTGCGCAGATTTATCTTTACCGTACGTGTCATTCAAAATTTCGCGGGCCATCAGACATTAAGTTAAAACACTTATCACGAATGCCTATTGTTGCCAGTCTATTTCTCACAACCATTAAGTTTAGCTGTAAAGAGTTTGTCACTCATCAAGCCTGCATTGAAGCTAAAAGTATGTAGGCATGCTACAGGTAATGAATGATCGGGCAACTTTCAAATTCCCTTGTCTTCTTAGCTTTTACCCTATTCACTGTATTTTTTATGTTGAACCTGATCACAGTTGACGATCGTTCTCTACCTATATATTGGACAGGATTTACTCAAATTCAGGTTAAAACGAAGTAGATGATTCTTTGTTTCTATTTGTTAGCCATCCATAACAATATCATTCAACTGTCCGCCACCTCAATCTAACGTTTGTCTATGCATTTTAGTGCTAATGGGTTGTACCGAAGCTCGACTGATGGAGTTGCCGAGCGGTGCAGAACTCCTTGTAGATCACTTCGAAACTTCTTTTCGGTGCCCTGAAACACTAGGCTATTTCGCCGACGAGGATCACCAATGCAGAGTGTTCCACGTATGCAATCCTATGGTAACCGGCATGCAGCAGTTTTCATTCGTCTGCGGTAACCAGACCGTGTTCGACCAGCTCAACCTTGCATGCTCCCATCCCGAAGACGCGATTCCCTGCGAGTACTCGAAACATTTCTCGTACATCAATGAACGTTTTGGAACCGAACACCACCTGCACTATGACGCAGACATAGAGCGTGCTGCGCCGTATGTTCCGAACAAAGCCGACAAGCTCGCGCAGGCACAGTCTCATCAACAGGATTACCAAGATCCAGTGGAGCAAACTATTCCTCAGGAGTCAGAACAGCAGCACGACTCTACCGCCTCGCAGGCACAAGAAGATGGTGGAGGAGACTTGCAAAGCCATCAACGACAGAGCACCTCACCAGGTCACGGACACGACTTTACCGTACATCATCCACAAAGCAACCCCTCGAATGCGCAGTCCCGCAAACAGAAAAGTACTCTGCGAAACTCGATCAGGAGGCGTCCGAGAGCTAGGAGCAGCTTTGTGTCCTAGATAACGGATATTTATAGTAATCGTTCACTGTTATGCATCGATCGTGGATCGATCGTTTCATATGTTAACGTCCGGAAGATAATCCTATTATGAAAGACTCCATAGCACCGCGATCGCACCGCACAAATAAAACGAAAAACTAGAAGAACTAATGTAACTGTGATATAATAGTGGAAATGATCATATCGTCCTGGTCTCCCTAAATGAGCCCAATGATCAATAACTAATAATAAATTGACCAAACATGTAACATAACAATGAATGATTATGTTTTTATAGAAGCTTCTGTTGGCTATATACATTAGAGGGTATGTCTTGTCAAGATTTTCGAACGCCGAAGGAATTGCATACATGCGGCATAGCAAAAAGAAAAAAATAAAAAGGTAGCATCAGAGTAATTGATAGATATTCCACTTAAGACGTTAAACTGATTTTGACGGGTGTTTATGCTATTAGCATATCTGAAAATGTTTAGTTAAACAAACACTTGTTTATTAAGGGAAATCCAGTAATATGCCTATGTAGTCTAGCATAGATGAGGGAAGTTCTTGCCTTCAGACTGTTCATGACGGTTTTTCTCGTGTAGGCAGGCCTCACTCAGTTATTTCTTCATACACATTGCGCAGGGATTATCGTGTACATCAGATGATCAAACGCTGCTAGGTCGAAAACAATCAACTCAGCCGAGAAGGATATAGTATGCACGGGTTCTTCGTTGACAAAGCATAAACTGTGAAAATAACATAAAATATATTTAAGTTTAAAGAAAATCACTTTTAGTAATAAATTACTATTGAGCTCATGTCATTGTTTCGCTGTCACTGCGCATACACATAGCTCTCGATGAAGTAGATAGATATCGTTGGAACACAGCATCCATTATCACGAACACCCACGGTAGTCGTGTACAAACATCGTGCCGGTTTAATATTGCCTGATTGTCTCGAAAAAAGTTTGGAAGCTATGAAGTACCGCAAACCAAGAATAGAACAGCAAAAAGGAAAAGGTGTACGAGGGACGCCAGCTAGATTTAAGTCAAGGACCTGTTTTTTGTCCTTTATATTTGGTAGGTGAGCTATTAAACACTCGTTTGCCCGGCTGGCTCCCAGCGTGAAACGAGGTGTTTACCAACAGGTATCATCAAGCATCTCTAAGTTCGATAAACAAACCATTGACCATTGTGCCGTTATGGGAATAAATAGAATGTTCACTGAAAAATCAGCACAAGATAAGGAAGAAGAAATGCCTTTTGGACTGAGGACTAAACGTACCTTGAAAATTCCCAATCAATAATGCTGTTTAATACTGTTTATCATTTAACAGTTCAGTATAAACAAAGGTAAGGTTTCAGGGAACTTTATATAATAAAGTTAAATAAACTAATTTCTATTAACGTTGTGTTTCGATAATCCTATAGTAGTTTCTGTGACGTTTCCGAATATTCGCCATTACGGGGGTGAGGAGCGTTAAGAGAGAGAGCTTTGGGAGGTAATGTCATGGCTGACAACAACGTAAAAAACTACTGTGTTTTGTTATTAAGTGAATAATCATATTGTAAATATATGAAATGCTATCCGATAGAAGAGCGGTTATGCCTTGGCTAGAATGAATCACTGACCCATTGGCTGATACAGCTGAGAAACCATTGAATCCCCCATCCCTGTGAGGCTTACGTGACCTGCAGATGATGATATTGTAAGCCTTTTTGATTTAATTTCATAAGTGGTCATCAGCCACCGACGGCATAGCTTTCCCGCAATCCAACACAGCTGATTGTTTGATTGAGGTTGAAAAAAATAAGTAGACTGCTTTTCATGACATCAATATTTACCTTTGTTACAATACTGGCCATTTTGATTCTGCAGTTCTTCTTTCATCATCAAAGTCGGTTTAGCTTCCACCGTTTCTTATTGGGGATAGGGTTCAAGGGCGTCGCGTATATTTCTTGGACGGCGCACTCCGCCCGCACCCAGCCGTTCGAAGAAGAAAAGTCGTCTGACTGGAAGCGATGCGATCCATTGACAGCGCTACATCTGCCAGCGCGGCAGCGTCGAATTGAGGAGCGTCGTTTGATTATTACGATGCTGATAATAGGAAGCCTGAAAAACGAAGGCAGGTCGGCACAAGCGACAAGAGCTTTACGCTATCGTCACAGACGCTCGTCTACGTAACTGCTCACAGCGTTGAACGAATTCCGATTTCGCGTTCTGAATAATTACAGAAGTAATCGTAGCACATTAAGAGTTTATCATTTTCAGATTATCAGAGTAAGAGTGGATCATTTTCTATAGATCAGATGTTCATTTCATGGTTCGTACCTTTTAGCCGATTTAGGAGAAATTGCGTATTTAAGATTTGAAGAAACGGGAGACGCTAGACGTATTGTTATGCGTATCTACGATAGTGCATTGAAATGCGTTGGAGTACAACTGACAAGTAATATCCATGTTAGACGATGGAATAATTTATGTTGTTTGTCCTGAAGGGTTTTCAGTACCTTGGCGCGTGGTATTTTTCAAACCAGCTTCCCAATACCTGTCCAATAAAAATTAGTCAAAACCGTTGGCTCGAGGCATTTTTTTCAGCTGAACAAAAAAAAAGCATACAATGTTTAGAATATTAGGATTTGTTCAATTTCTTGAAGAGCCATCAATAAGTCATCTTGCTATTTCTAAAACCCGTATCCTGCTAATCATATCATTGCTTTACCGTTATTGAATCACCACATTGTGATGCACGCTATGTTTTACAGATTTATCAGCGGACTCCTAGTCACGATGATAACAAATAAATACTTCTTCATTTCGATAGCGATCCCCCGGGTACCTTATCAGCGACTACGATTAGGTAACCGCCATGCTATAGTGTAACAATAGAATACCTAGTAATCATAAAGTCGAGGCTGAACAGTTGCGGCTGCTGCGGCGAGTACGCGACAGACCATTCTCGTATAGTGTGATTATAGACTCCGTACTTGCCGTGTCTGACTGCTTTTTTGCACTAATCAGAGCCTTTGAAATTTTTCTCAGTTGTGACATAGAAAAGATACTGTCAACGCCCTATAGCATTGGTCATATTATTCCTATTGCTTGTCCAAGCTTAATGAAAGATTTTCGATCGGCTGACTGGTTCTAGCATAACTTGGCACGAAACTTGTGGTATAACTTCGCAATTTAGCTTGATTCTATTTTGAATAAGTCACCACATTAACGTAACGACGTCTAGTGCCTCTATCTTTATAGATTCAGTTTTTCTTTGTAATCTGTGACGTCCGCTTGTATACGTGAAAATTCAACAAATTGTTGTTTTTATGCTATTTCGTCAGTCTTAGTCGGTGTATAATTTGAATTAAAGTAAAAACGCACGATTAACCGACCCCATTTCCCACGAATATTAAGTTAAAAAAAAAAAAATTTCATCACTTATTGTCATCTGTTTTTGATTCCGATGTGGATTTCCTTCGAGTCAGAATTTATTTCTGAAATTCTGTTACTATCAGAGAAAGACAAACAAATTTTATTATCTATCTTTTTTTCTACAGAAAACTGGTAAAAAGCTATTTGATTGATCACACTATAGAAAAGGCTGCATGTGAAGAAGTCCCGTATCGGTCTGGCAGAATACCCTAGAAAACAGGTCTGACATCTAAGATTGAGCGAAACAAAGACGCTATCAGGATCGTACAAGAGTAGATGGCTTTGCTTCATAAATAGGTTAAAAAAAAGCATGCAACGGTAGGCGTTTGGGTGATCCAGAACACGATCGTATGTACACTTTGGAAACCCTGTTGGCAAATCGGTAATTCTCACCTTTGATGGCCATTAAACAAACACCCCAACCAATGTTTTTACGGTCCGCAAAAACTGCTAAAATCAAAGCACAAAATTTTGCTTTATCTTCTTAGACTTTTAGCTCAGTATATTTTTCTAACGTGTCGCATTACAGTGGAACAAAGAGTTAAATGTTTTTTTTGACGACGATTAGCTGCGATTTAGGATCTTCTTTTACCTTAAATAAAGGGTAGAAGTACGTAGCAAAAAATGACTGTAGTGAAGGGAATACTGGGAAATATGGCTGAATATATAAAGATATCGTGACTAGTCGACGGATTTCGGTGTGCCTAGTAAGTTTCCGCTAGCCAATAGTAGATTGTGCGCAGCTAGCGTACCTTGTCTTGTCGTAATCTATAGCATATACAAGTTTTATGGTTAGGAAAAATTTGCGGTAATTCAGTAACAACAGTAATGGGTTAAAAAGAAAAGTTGTCATTTAATTGGTACCTTTCAACTTACGTAATTGTTTTGAATGAGTTTATTTTTTGTGATTGCTTTTTTTTTTTACTTCCCATTCAAGTTGAAATTTCAACTGAAATTGAAGGTAATAAGCATGGTTTTACAGCAAGATATGCAAAAACAATACAAGCAACCGCAACCATAACGAGAACCGCCATTAAGCAGGTTTAGACGCAGGTATGGAATCGTAGTTATTTATCAAACTTCGTGAAGAACAAGAACCAATGAGTGCACTACTGGAAGACATATTTTTTTAAAACGCTACCTGTAGTGCCCGGTAAAAAATCGTTCATGCGTAGTCGTATGTATTTAGGTGGTATGTTTTCTAAAAGCAAAATTCACCTCAGAGCGCTAAACTCGGTCTGCCGGTTCATCTCTGATTCAATATCCAGGTGAAACGCATTTGTTCGATAGTAGTACATATAAGTTATACCCTTAAATTTTCTTGATTCGCTTCGAAGCTTGAAATGTACACGAGATACATTTGTAACCTTCCATAGATATAATGTACGAGCCGGCCATACCATTACCGTAAAAAAGAAAAAGAAAAAAGAAAACAGCAAAAAAGATACGATATTTAGGAGAAGGTTTGTGGCTGAGATTAACACAGTTTTTTTTTGCGTATTCGTTGAGTTTACCTAGCCAAAATGACGGCAAGATAGGTAAGACACCAGTAGACAACGTATCGTCGACGAGGGT